GGGCACGCCAGCGTGACGCAGCGGGCAGCGAAGGCTTGATGGGTGTTAGATAGAGGAAAGGCGGAGGAGAGGAGAAGGGTGGTGGAGAGGAAGGGAGGGAGATGGAGGAGGCGGTGGAGAGAGAAGAGGGGAGGAGGGAGGAGAACAGGCGGAGGGAGGAGAGGAGGGAGGAGAGAGACGAGGACCCCCTTCTCGTCCCTAGACTCTTTCCGAGTTTGATCCCTTAGATTTTTTTGTTGAGTTCGACCCTCTTCGAAAATCAAGATCCTTCGGATTGGAGGCATTCGAGTCGGAACAGTTTCGATTTTTTTTTTATATATCCCCCGCCTGCCCAAGGCGGCGCTCTACAAGATCGCGTCCGACCACGAGGAGACCTGGCGGCTGCGCAGCCAACGAGGGGAGTGGGCTGACCAGAACGCCAAGAAGATCAGGGCCATGCTCGGCCACATACGCGACGCACTCACCGTGCGCGAGGGATTCAGGCTCGCGGGCACGGCAAGGAGGAGGGAGGCGATGAGAAGGAGGACGGGGAAGACGAGGAGAAAGAGGAGGCGCGTGCAGGGGGCGGTCGAGCAAGAGGAGGAGGAGGAGGAGGAGGAGGAGGAGGAGGAGGAGGAGGAGGAGGAGGAGGTAGAGGAGGTAGAGGAGGGGGTGGGAAGTGAAGAGGAGAGGAGGGGGCAGGAAGGAGGCAAGCCAGCAATGGCCATTTTTTCCGAACGGAGCCGCTCCCGCCCGCGACCACTAACCCCCCCCCCCCCCCCCCCCCCCCCCCCCCCCCCCCCCCCCCTCCCCCCGCCCCCCCCCCCCCCCCCCCCCCCCCCCCCCCTATCCCCCCCCCCCCCCCCCCCCCCCCCCCCCCCCCCCCCCCCCCTGTGGAATTCAAACGAAATCCATTAGAATTCTTATGGAACTCCAATGGAATTAATGAGATTCCATTCGATTTCCCGTGGATTCAGACTGAATCCGATTGGATGTTCTGCCCGAGGCCGCCGAAGTGGGCCCGGGAGTTTGCCGCGGAGGCCACGTCCGCGGCCGGCGCCGAGGAGGCAGGCGCTGCAGCCGAGGAGGGAGGCAGCGAGGACACCGCCGAGGAGGGAGGCGGCAAGGACGACGCAGAGGAGGGAGGCGGCGAGGACGACGCAGAGGACGGAGGCGGCGAGGACGACGCAGAGGAGGGAGGCGGCGAGGACGACGCCGAGGAGGGAGGCAGCGAGGACGCACCGCCGCTGGAGTTCTTCAACAATGCTGCCAAGAAGCACGGTTTGAAGGTCATTGCTCAAATGAGCGGCTTCCACCTCGGCTTCGACGAGGCCATGGTTTCGGCGTGGAGGCTGCCAGTTGACGCGAAGGGCTCCACGATGCCAGAGTACGTTCCTGCGCGTCCAGCGCCTGGCATCAAGGAGCTCAAGGCCACGTGGACCTCGGACGGCAAGAAGCTATCGTGGGTCATCCCGCACACGTTGGCGGAGGAGTTCGAGGAGACGCCGACGAAGAAGGGGACCAACGTGATTCAGGAGCTGCAGGGCAAGAACAAGGACGAGAAGTTGTCTTTGGCCTACGTTGACCACTGCAGGAAGGGCCGCTGGATGGTCATTCGGAAGCACGGTGCTGGTGGCAAAGCGCAGGTGCTCCAGATGGTGAACTGCGGCCAGGAGCTCCCAGCAAAAGAGTGCCTCCTCAACGTGCTGAAGGGTCTGGCTTCAGGGAAGCTCGACAAGGCGATGGCCGAGGAGATCAAGAGGGACCACCTCAAGAACAACAAGAAGGACAAGTCCACTTCGGGGTCTGCGGCGGCGATCCAGGACAGCAGGCCTTATAGAATGAGGGAGGGGTAGGGGGCTGGGGGGTGGGAGACGAGGCTGTCGATGGAATCGCGATGGAATTTCGCGGCGGCGGCGATGGAATTGCGATGGGATTTCATCGGTGCCCCGTGGAATTCTCAGTGAGATCTTAAGTCTCATCCCCACCCCCTGCACAGCCCCCATCCCTCTTTCATTTTCGCAGGACGGCAAGGAGAGCGGCGGGAAGACGCAGAAGGGCGGCCCTCGCGACGGCGGATCTGGTGACGGAGGCGACAAGGGCGAGCCTAGCGACGTGCCTGCGAAGAGGGCAGCTGGGAGGGCCAAGGCGAAGGGAACGGCCACGGCGTTGAGTTTGGCAGCGACGACACCTGCGACGCCAGCCTCGAAGCCCGCGCAGGCAGAGCCCCAGTCAACGAAGAAGAGGGAGGCAGTGACAGCGACTGAGCCCAAGAGGAAGGCTGCGAAGAAGGCTGTGCAGGAATCTTCGCTGGCCGACGGGACGATCACCAAGCGGGCGAAGGTCGCGGTCGTGGAGGACAAGACTCAGATCGACGATCACAGGAGCGGCCAGCAGGGAGGCGTGAACGAGAGCCACGAGAAGAAGGATATCGGCGGGGCCCTCGACGACGAGTACGGCATCCCGTCGTCGCTCCTCGATGTGAGGTGCTAGATTGGCCACGAGCCGATCAGGTGGGGTCGAATCTATATGAACATAGATTCGCATGTCATTCCTGGCGCCTTTGCATCGTGCGCCAGGGTCTGGGCCTTGAAAAATCAAAACGTCAGGTCGAATGACGACGGTCATGCTGCCAATCCCAACTAACAGTTCGCGCGGCCACGAGTGCAAAGATATCAGCATCTCGCAGGGGCGCGAAGTACTTTACCTCGAAGCAAGACGCTTGAAAGGTTCGAGCCACATACGCAATGGCAACTGTGAGGAGGTATGAGGACGAGGTGGAGGGCTGGAAGGGAGGGGGTCGGGAGGGCGAAACGAGACGTCAGGGGGCAGGGGGTAGGAGGGGGAAGGGGTCTGGCGGCAAGTCGAAGGCGCAGCAATGCGCTGGCGTCGAGTCGGAGCCTGGCGCCGAGGAGGGGGAGGAGTTGTGCTGCGTCCCTAGGGGCAGCACTTCCTCGGCCCCTCTCTCACCTTCCTTCTCCCCTCCCTCTCCTCCCTCTCCTCCCTCTCCTACCTCTCCTACCTCTCCCCATCCTCCTCCTCCGAAGTGCACTCCTCCTTCTCATCCTTCTCCATGCCAGCCCCTGGACGTCCATGGGGGGGCCCATCCAATTCTTTGGCGTCGCCACAGCCATTCGGGCCCGAAGGGTTGACAGGGCTCGGACTCGGCTTGCACCAGGGCCCAGGAGTTCAGAATCGATGGCGCCTCGGCAGCGCAACACGCCGATCGCCAAGGCGCTGGCGAGAGGCTCGTGGAAGCCCAGGAAGCGGTCCAAGCAGGATGCGCAACGCCCACTGTCGGAGGATGACACGCTGGCGACCTCGGCCACCATGCGTGACGACTCCACGCAGCTCCTCGACGGGGAAGAGGTCGAGGTGGTTGAGAGTGCTGAGGAGTCGAGGGGCGAGCCGTCTGGTATTGATTGGGGTACCAGCGCCCGCGAGGAGGGCGTCGCTAGCGAGGGCAATGCAGATGCCGACAGTGACGAAGCTGAGGGCTCCGACGCCCCTACTGAACAGCCGTTTCCACAGCATGCTGATGATGAAGATCAGACCCTCGAGGAAAGTGCTCGGACGGCTCAGGAGGAGGCGGCGCGCGAGGCTGAGGAGCGCGATGCCGAGGAGGCTGCGGTCCAGGAGAGCCTGCGCGACGCTGAGAAGCAATCAGAGCTCGCGGCTGAGGAGCAGCGCCAGCTTGAGACCGCCCTTGCCGCATCCCAGCGGACCGCTGGTCGCCGCGGTCCTCCGAGCCCGACCGACGACGCGCAGCCGCCCGCTTGGCAAGAGCCGTCCATGGGCAGCAAGGGCTGCTACCGCGATGGGCGGCCGCAGCCTTCGACGCCGCCAGCTGGGAATCAGCGGCTCGGCCTGAGCCAGGAGGCGCTGGCTCGTTTCGACAAGAATGGCAACGAGAGCCAGGTCTTCTCCATTTCCTCTGAGAGCGAGCGGCTCGGCCTGAGCCAGGAGGCGAGTCAGCTGGCTGCTCAGCCCTTGCTGACGGCCTCGGACCTCCAGACGCCGCCGCCCTTGCTGCCCGCGCAGCCGCCAGCCGCTGCGCAGCGGGGCCGCGTCGCTGGAGAGCAGGAGGCCACATCCCTCATTATCCTCGTCTTCGTCGCCTTTCTCGTTTCCCGAAGCTTCATCCCGCTTCCATCCTCCTCCTCCTCCTCCTCTCATGTTCTGTCCTCTCCTACTCCTGGCTCTTCCATTCGATTCCTCATGATCCTTCCGCTGTCATGTGCCACCCTTCCGCTCGCCACCCGCTTCTCCTGCGCATGCCCCCCCCCCCCCCCCCAGCAAAAAGCGAGGCCAGCCAGTCGCAGGCCATGATGCTTCAGAGCATGATGATGCAGATCGCTAACATGATGGGCAGCATGCAGGAATCTCATCTCACAATACCCAACCTCGCCTCTCTTCATGCTCCTCCTCCTCCTCCCCCCCTCCTCGTCTTCCACTTCCTTTCTCCTTCATCCTCCCCTAACTCCGTGTCCTACGTCACCCCTCCTCCTCCTCCTCCTCCTCCTCCTCCTCCTCCTCCTCCTCCTCTTCCTCCTCCTCCTCCTCCTCCTCCTCCCCCGCCCCTGCCCGTCCCAAGTGCCTCAGGGAAGGAGGATGAGGAGGGGGATGGGGGAAGGGGAAGAACAGGAGGGGGAGGGTGAGGAGGTGAGGAGGAGGAGAAGGATGAGGGGGAGAAGGAGGAGGACATGCCATTCTCGCCCTCTTTGTTCTCTCCGCCAGGACGCCGAGGCCGTCAAGGCCAACCTCATGAGCATGGCCGCGCAGGCTGCTGCTGGGGCAGGCGCGCAGCCCGTGCCGACGCTGGGAGAGGACAAGGCGCTAACCTTCCTTCTGCTCCTCCCCTGCCCCTCCCTCCCCGCCTTGGATCTGGTCGGCGGTCGCGGTGGTTCCGGCAGCCCTGGCTCGGTGGATATGGTCGGTGGTCGGTGGTCCTGGCGGGGGGGGGAGGCGGGAGAGAAGAGGACAAGGAAGGATTGCGCAGGCAGCAGCAGGCGCTGCGACAGCGCAGCAGGAGACGGCAGCGGCGCATCAGGAGGCGGCAGCTCAGCAGAAGAAGCAGCAGGCGCAGCAGGCGGCGCTGCAGGAGGCGGCAGCTCAGCAGAAGAAGCAGCGGGCGCAGCAGGCGGCGCGGCAGGCGGCGCAGCAGGTGGCGGCAGCTCAGCCCAAGAAGAGGCAGGCGGCGCGGCAGGCGGCGCAGCAGGAGGCGGCCCCAAGGGAGGACCCAGAGGCGGAGACCGTGGGCTACGAGGCGGACGCCGAGACGGTGCCAGCACCAGACATAAGCGGCACCTGGCCTACTGGAAGTAAAATGGTGGAGGCAGCTCTCGGCACGCGTGGGGAGCTCGGGAACCAGCCTTTGCAGACGCCACCGAAGACCAAGAAGGCAACGCTGGACGAGGTGGACGCACTCAAGGCGAACTTCATCGGCAAGCTGAGCGCGCCAGATGTCACCTTCGGCGAGCGCGACGAGTTCGACCTGTCCCAGAAGGTGTACGAGATCTTCACTGGCCCTGTGTTCGAGCGCCTTCTCGAGCTCAAGGGCACGCCGCGCGTTCCTTCTCTTCGTAGTCATCGACAGTCATCCCCCCCCCCCCACCCCCTCCTCCCCACCCCCACCCCCCCCCCCCCGCCCCTTTCCACCTCCCCCCTCCCCCCCCCCCCCCCCCTCCCTTCCCCTCCCCTCCCCCCCCCCCCCCCCCCCCCCTCCCCTCCCCCCCTCCCTCCCCCCCACACACATCCCCCCCACCCCTTTTCGTCGTGGGGGCCTGCGTTCGACGAGGAGAAGCACGTTGAGACGCTCAAGCCCCACGAGAGAAAGGAGTTCGAGTTCTGGTCGACGCTTGCTTCCCAGGGATTCTGGATCAGTACTGACGGGAAGAAGGAGGCCGCCCAGGCGGGGAGGTGGCAGCGTGCGATTGCTGCGGACTCCAAGCTGAAAGCCGACTACGCGCAGGTTTCGGGGGACGTGGCGAAGGCCGAGTTTCGGAGAAAGTGGGCGATTGAGCAGCACGACAAGAAGGTGAAGAAGTTCACCAAGACGACGGAGGATCGGAGGACCCACTGGAAGGACAGCCAGTACTTGAGCATCGGGCGGATCGCCCATCTCGAGGGCAACGGCAGGGCTGGCTGGCTGGCGGTACTTCGGCGGAAGCAACTATTTACCTCTCTGTGTGCCCCTGGTGAAACCATTGAACCCTCCAGGAATCAAACGTCGTTTCCGAAAAAAACGCGCCTTCCACTGGGGTGTCGCCAGCCACCCAGCGTAGACGTTACCCAAGCAACAAAGTATATGTGGCGCTGCATGTCGATGGGCCCGCCGTGGGTGACCTACGACGAGTGGACGGAGACGGTGAAGGGGTTGTACGTCTCGTTCGGGCTCAGGGAGACTTTCAGCACGGCGTGGGAGGAGCATGCCACGTGGGGGGAGCAGGACGTCCACGGGCACCAAAACGCTTGGCACGGGAGAGGGAGGGGGGGGGGGAGGAGGAAGAGGAGGAGGAGGAGGAGGAAGAGAAAAAGATGGAGGAGCAGGAGGAGAGGGGGCAGGAATACAAGGGAGAAGGAGAGGATATAGAGAACAAGGGGATGGAAGTTGGGAGGAAGGAATAGGTGGAATGGGATAGCGGATATGAGAGAAGAGAGAGAGAGAGAGAGAGAGAGAGAGAGAGAGAGTGAGAGAGAGAGAGAGAGGAGAGAGAGGAGAGAGAGAGAGAGAGAGAGAGAGAGAGAGAGAGGTCGAGGGAGCAAGGGGGAGGGGTGACGAGGTAGGGTGCGAGGATGCACATTTTCGCTCCGAAGGATTCGCCTGGCCAGCACTCGCTGGCTGCCGCGGCGCAGGCCGCGCTGCCGGCGGCAGTGGCGCAGCCGACGCCAGTGGCGCCAGCCGCGGCCACGCCGAAGGCAGCGCCAGCCACGCCAGCTGCGGCGCCAGTCGCTGTGCAGGAGGCGGAGGGGGAGACGGCGGCGCCAGAGACGCCAGTGCCAGCAGCTGCGGCCCGAGCGATGGAATAGCGATGGAAATCCTCGGCCCGAGCGATGGAATCGCGATGGAATCGCGATGGAATCGTGATGAAATCGCGATGGAATCGCGATGGAAATGCGTTGGAATCGCGATTCCATCGCTATTCCATCGCTATTCCATCGCTCGGGCCGAGGATTTCCATAGCTTTCCAACGCGTCGGCAAGGGCAGCAGGAAGAGGACGGCTGCCACCAGGGCGGCAGGCGCTGATTACGCTGCGGGCCCCGCTGACGCCGACGCCAAGGCGCCGAAGGAGAAGACGCCTCTCCAGGCCAAGATGGTGTCTGCCCGCAAGGTGATCGGCAGGTACGCTGGCGTCCTGGCCACGGGGACCACGGTGTACGACACCACGCAGAGCGACAGCTGGTACAAGAAGTGGGCTACGACTGACGTGGTGAAGCCTCTCTTTGATGCCATCAACAAGGTCAAGATGATGGTCGCAGACGACGCGAACCTCAGCTCGGCCTTGACGGAGAACCTCACTAAGTACCAGAAGCGCGTCGGAGAGAGAATCGCGCTCAAGGTGCTGGATGACATCGTGAACACTCTCAACCCTGCGCTGGATACGATCGAGGAAGAGGTGAGCACCATCATCGGGTTCGCCGAAGTGAAGCGCCAGCAGGAGAAGAAGATGGCCGAGAAGGCTGCGGCGGCCAACGGCAGCGAGCCCACCCCGAAGAAGCAGCGGATCATTGGCAAGGCGTCCAAGTAAATCGCTGTCGATTTCAAGGACGTCCTGGGGCTTGGCTGCATCAGGGTATTTGTCAGCCAGGAATCAATGGTGGCCGTGCGGGCATGCGGCTGATTGAATCGTGCCCGAGCTCTCGCTCGAGCGAATGCACCGCGCCACCATCTCTCAGTGTGGAAAGGAGGGGAAGAGGATGCAGAAACAGACGGGGGAGGAGTGGGAGGAGGCCTTAGACACTGAAACCCACAACATCTGACGAAAAATGCATCGAGCACCATGAAAATCACTCTGGGATCAGCTGTCTGGGCGCAAAAGTACCGATGGAATCCCGATGGAATCCCGGTGGAATCGTACCGATGGAATGCCGATGGAATCGCCGTTTTACCTGTGATTTCTCATGTAAAACTACCGATGGAATCATCCGTATAGAAAATGGCGTCCGGTGGAATACCGGTGGAATGCCGATGGAACCGATTTTGAGCTGACCCATGAGCATCCATGCGTTGAAACGGCGGGTATCTTGCCCACTTGTGGAGACAAGTGACGTTCTCGTGGGTTCGACCGCATTTTTGCTCAGATGTTCTGCCGACGAGATGGCGCTCGGGCACTAGTGTGGCATCTTTGACAGCAGAGCGTGGTACGAGGGCGGCTGGTAACGCGTTGCGCGTTGCTGCAGCCAGTATTTCAGCCTTCGTCCACGGCATGTCGGCCTCCCGTGGCAATTCATGGAGGCCAGCTGCGCCAAATAGGGATGAGGGGCAGGGGGAGGGGGAGGAGGGGGAGGAGGAGGAGTAGGAGGAGGAGGAGTAGGAGGAGGAGGAGGGAGAGGCGGAGGAGGAGGAGGGGAATGAGGAGGAAGAGGATGAGGATGAGGAGGAGGAGGAGGAGGAGGAGGAGGAGGAGGAGGAGGAGGAGGAGGAAGCGGGGTGGGGATGGCAGAGGATGAGGAGGAAACGCAGAGAAAGAGAGAGAGAGAGAGAGAGAGAGAGAGAGAGAGAGAGAGAGAGAGAGAGTGAGAGAGAGGGGGGGAGTAGGGCAAAGAAAGATGACGGATGATGAGGAGGACGGCGGCAGCAGCAGTAGTTCGGACATTCTGCCAACACAAGTTTCATGAAAAGAGGCGCGCGGCGGTGCGGAGGCCGTCCCCGAACACGTCGTGGCACGAGCTCGGTCCAACTGTCGTCCTCGGGGGGAAGCGAGTGCTGTCGCAACGGCCGAGTCTGGTGATACTGCCCATCTCCCTCTCGCGCCAGCACCGCCCTGTCATCTCGTGCTGCGTCTATTTCTCCAAGGTCCATTCAGTTCCCTCCTGCATCGCTCTTCTGCCGACCGACCCCCTCTGCACTCGCGCCCTCTACCCCCAAAGTGGCCAAGAGTTCGGGACTGCAATGCGAGGTAGGTGAACTTTCAGCGGCTTCGAGAGCGCCGCGCTAACCGTCGGGGGCGGGGATGGGTGAGGTGATGGCCCGCCAAAAGACAACGAAGGGTGAGCGCATGATCAAGATGATTGCTGCCAACCGTGAGAGGGGGCGCCACGCGCTTCCCCACCCGTCATTTCCACTCCTCTCCTCGCCCCCTCCCCCCACTACCCCTCGCGCCCTGCTCCTCATAGTGCCTCGCTGCCTGCCCCACTTCCTCACCGACCTTAGCCATTTTGGCTCACACTTGGGCTGACTCGCCATGCGACAGCCACAATATCGTTTCGGCCATGGCAGTACCTCGCTGCGAGCTGATGCGTCGGAGAGGGCGGCAGGCGCAGCACTTCTGACGCAACTGCTAGAATTGTATGGATCTGCACGTCTAACAGCCAAACAGTTTTGTCGGCTATGCAGCTTGTGCGAACAATCGGGCGTCAAAGGGGCTTGCTTTTCAAGATACGCCAGGGGCGCCGACCTGCAATCAGGAAAGTATCAAGAACACCTTGATCGGGTCCTCCCTGCGCCGAGCCACCTCTATGACGTGGGAGTGCCGCAGAATGTAAATCGAGGGCCCCATCGCCGCGTTCGGGCAGTGCCTGTTAAGCTGATATACGAGACATTGTCTGACGAGATCCACAGCGACGAGAAGTCGCTCAAGCTGCTGCGGGCGCCTGAAGACGAGCGGGACGAATGCATATTAGACTTGCCAGTTTACAAGGATCACATACTGGTGAAGCAAGCCATCGAGGCTGGGAACGAACTGCCAATCCCAATTGCACTCTACGTCGACGGCGTCTCCTTCTCTCAGCAAGCGGCTGGGCGTTCGGACTCGGTCACGGGTTGGTGGGGAATCAACTTACTGACGAACACACGACATCTAATCGCAACGCTGCGCCACTCTGATGAGTGCACCTGCGGGTGCAGGGGGTGGTGCAGCATCCATCCAATTCTTTCAACGATATCATGGCAACTGCACGCCCTGGCTGACGGCAAGCGGCCACCGCTCACGCACACGGGAACGCCATGGCCAGTTGGTCAAGAACCTGCAGTTGCGGAGCTGGGTTTTTCTGCATGTGTACCCTACGTGAAAGGGGACTGGTGCGAACATTCCAGGACGCTCGGCCTCGCGGGGCCCAACCAGTTACACAATCCCTGCCAGATCTGCCATTTAGCCAAGGACGAGCTGCACAGTTTCAACCGCCTCCTTTCTACAAGCACTGGGCCACAATGGCCGCTCAGGGAGGTTGGGGACTACGATAAGGCAATCGGGAAATGCGAATTCACCCTCACGCTGCACTCGGCAGCGGACAAACACAAACTATGCAACGTCCTGCGCTGGATGAGACCAGTTGGAAGCAAGAAAGTTTCTGGGATCCGAACTCGCGGGATTTCGCTCGACGTCGAGATCGGTGGCGTGAAGCTGATCGCAGGAGACAGGCTAGAACCTTCACGCGACGTGCCAGATATAGGTGACCTGACTGGAATTTCATACCCATGTGATCTCAAATTCTGGAGAGCGCGTCTTGGATTAGGCGGACACCCAATGGATGCGGTGCACCACAGGAACCCGATATTTGATATTTCAATTGGCATTTGCCCAGAGCTGTCGCTTGCCATCGACAGCATGCACTGCTTATACCTCGGAGTAGCGCAGCGTTGGGTGAGCGCCGTCGTCTGGCGCATATTGCTCGTGAACTTGTACGAACACGCTGGCACCCAGAAACGCGTGGTGGAGGTCGGGCTTCGGAGCCTTACCGCTGACCTGCGCCGCTGGCAGCAGGAACAAGGAGTGCCCCACGGCAACTGGGTCCGCGCCCTGACTCCCAAGATGATTGGGAAGACTCGCGGCTGCTCGTTCCAGTGCCCCCACCACCCTGGGGCGCCCATCAAGCTGAAAGCCGCGGAGTCGACTTTGGTCCTTGATTTCCTCATGGATCGCATCGAGGGCTTTGGCGGACATGAGGCTCTCGGAGGACCGATCATTGGCGCTGGCAGAGCACTCCAGCAATTG